AATTTTCTGTATAAAAATTAGATGCATCAATTATTTGACTCCATATCAAAATTAATAGCACAACATCTTGTATGACTGATAGTATAAAGTTTGTGTTAAATTAGAGAACCAATAGATTTATACTAAATAAATAGTAATGTTTAAAAAAATATTAATTTACACTAAGTAAATTTAATTTGGACTATTTTTAGAAATGATTTGAGATTACACAAAAATGAATTGAAGAGAAAAAAAGTAGGATAAAAACAATTTTTTTTACAAGGAGTTTAAAAAGGAGTAAAGATTTTTTGTTATAACTTAGTTAATATTAGGTTAAAATCTTTATTTAAAGCTTGTTTCAACCAGAAAAATGAGCTCTACAACTTTCTCTTAAGGCTCAAGAAGAGTTGTGAAGAAATAAGCAAAAGTTTGATTTAAAGAAACCAAAATATGGTTTGTAGTTTAAAACTACAAGCTTTTAAGCTAGAGCTTTAAAACTTATATAGTATATGTAAAATTATAAAAGGAATAAATTTGCTTAAGATATAAAGGTCTGTTTTCTTAATAAATTACTAAGATATTAGCAATTTTATAATGCACAAATTTTTTTATTTAAGTTTGTATAAAGTATTTATGAAAAGAGTTTTTTTTTACTATAGGAGTATATTATTATCAGTGTTGGCAAATAAAACAATAGAACAAAAGCTTAATTTTTTAACTTATATAAAAAATATATTTTTTATTAATAATTTACAATTATTTTAACATATATTGTTAGAGCATTAGTAATGTAATAAATTTAAAATATTTTTATATTTAATTAGTAAAATTTAATACTCAAAATTTACAATAGAAAATAAAAAAAATGAATAAAATTAGAAGCCAATAGAAAAACATACAAACATGACAACCCTGATTATTATATAACTAAAATCTATATGTTATTAGACTATAATATTGATATCTGTTAGTTTACTATTATTTGTTCTTCTATATTACTCTCTTATGCATATTAGCCAAATAATAGTGCTATATAGATATATTCCATTATTTATATATTCAACCTGTGGATAGTAGCAAGAAAAATGATTACAAAAGAAGTATTTAGAAGATGCATAAAGTTTTAATCAAGAACAAGCATTAGTATACAAAAAGATTTAACAAAATGCTAAAATGAAATGGATTGATAAAAAGATAAAATTTATTCAATTATGCCAAAATCATAAACTTAGCCGAATTGACAAAACATTATTTGGCTAGATATTTTAGAAATTATGAAACAGATGTAATACATTTATTATAATCAACTTTTCAATTTTTGGATGCTAAACCCATGTCAGGACCAGTTGAACCGGGAATTAGATGTTTCGAGAATTTCATAGAGAAAGGCTTGAAAGGATGCCCCTAATGCGAATAAAATGATCTGTAAGTACTTACAATCTTATAAACTTATTTGCCAATTTTAATTCCACAGATCAATATATAACTTTTTATTCACAATACGGTTAAATGATTTATATGCGTTGGCTGTGAACTTGCTTTGCCGATTTTAATTTCACTGATTTGTAAATAATCTTTATACTTACCGGCTAAATTAATGCGAATGAACGTTCTAGATGTAATAAATTATGAAGTTTTTTGCCAATTTTAATTCTATTAATTAATAAATAATGTTTATATTCATCGACTAAATTGATGCGAATGAATGATCTGTACGTGATGCGAAGTAAGTATTATGATCTTACGAACTTGCTTTGCAGATTTTCTACCGATCAATGAATGACCTTTTACTCACTGGCTAAATCAATGCGATTGTATGTAATAGTCAGTAGGTATTTATGATTTTGACTTATGAATTTGCTTTTCCCATTTTAATTTCACCGATCAATAAATAATTTTTTTATACACCGGCTAAATCAATGAAATGAAATAATTTGCACGTGGTGGTATTACATAATACCCTTCGAGTCATTTTATTCTCGTTATTCATTTCGTTCAGCTGGTGAATATGATAAAGATCATTAATCGGTCAGATAAACAAGTTCACAAACCAAGAACATCAATGCTTTTCGAAGCTTAAGCGCAGTGGGAGGAGGGGTCAAACTAAGCAAATAAGTATCAACCCCAAAAAACTCCATTATTTGTTGGGTTCACAGTCACATTATTTATTGAAATCTCAAAGACATAATGGAAATTCTGATTGGCTTATTTAATTTCAGGGGAAGCTCTTGGAGGCGGTGGGAAACGTTAAACGACATTGCATTTCGAACGGCTTTAACATTACAAAATACCCTTCATGCAATTTCGTTCGTGTTATTTATTTCATCCATTAATTGGTAGAACTAAAATGAGCAAAAAAATTTGTTCACAAATCAAGAACATAAAACTTATTTACCGTTACATAATAACCTTCAAGATATTTCATTTGTTTTATTCATTTCTTTAGCTCGTAAATATAGATTTCATTAGTTGATAGAATTAAAACCAAACCAAGAATATAAATATTTACCTTTACACGTCAATTTCAGTTCCATGCTATCTGAACAATGTGAATAATTCCGTCACATTAAATATGTATGTCCTAAAGTCTTGAACTTAAAGATTTTATCATCTTTATATAGCGATTGCTTAAATAAATTAAATGTTATATACCAATAATCGATATTCGCATTGTAAAACAAATAATTTCGACTTAGATATACTTATTTAAGATTTTGTGATAAATATGCTATTATACCAAACTAATTGTGGATTGTTTATTATAAATATATAAAATCAGATAATAATACAATATTTCCGGATTAAAACTGTATAATCATAGTAAAAGAATAACTAATAATTAACTAACATATTACTACATTGTTTATTATGATGTAAAGTGTTCTTCAGACATGAGCTGGTCTAAGACATTAATGATTGATTCTATATCCGGACGCTTTGCAGGATCATCATTCCAACATTGCATGTAAAGTTTGGTGTATTCCGGTGGAGTACCTTCTATAGGCACTTCTCTTTCTCCATTAAATATGCGGATAGGTATTGAATACCCCAACTTAAACTGTTGAAAGGGTGGTTTTCCACTAGAAATTTCCCAAAGAATAACGCCAAAACTATAGATATCAGATCTCATGTCGCGTTTATACACTTGTTCCCTAAAGCATTGAGGTTCGATGTATGCTGACATTCCTTGAGAAATTGAGTACGATAGTGATGACGCTTCATGTCTGGATATATTGAATCCCGTAATTACCATTTTATTATCGTGAACTAAAATATTGGCTGAATTCTGTACAAATTAATTAGTTAATTATTTAAATAGATAGATATATTAAAATTATTTCGTATAATGCATGAATATTCTTACAAGATCGCAATGCGCCATATTATTCCTATGTAAATATTCAAGCCCATCCGCTATTTCTCTGGCCATACGTAATTTGTCTCTCCATTGTAATCCAGTAAAATTTCTTTCCAAGTACTCACATAAAGTTCCTTCTTCAGCAAATTGCCAAACCATATTATAGTACCCTTCGGGATCTGTTATTATAAACAACATATTAAAGATTTAAATTTTATATATTTTAAACCGATTATTTAAAGGCAGAACTACCTTTAGTCATTCCAAAGAATTTAACAATATTTGAATGAACATTATAATGCAAAAGTCGAAGCTTTGAATATAAATAATAGGAGTTAATATTAGTTTATAAAAAACTTAAAAAACCACAAAGATTTTAATATACCTTATAAATAAATTCTTGAATACTATTTTCACTCAAATCTTTATCATTAAGACATTTGAGAGCGACAGTTATTCCGCGACTTCTCCATGTAGCTTTGCGTACCAAAACCAACTCATCTTTAATGATTTCTTCGATGTTCACAAATTCATTGTATTCATGACAATTTATATGTTGTCCTAACATGACATCCTCAAGTAATCCTTTTAAAGGTTCTTTAATGTTCTTATGAATGTTAGTTGGTTCAAATTGATTTAAAATGTCAAGGATATATTTAATTTCTGGACGTTTATCAGGATCAGCATCCCAGCATTGAGTATAAAGTTCGATATATCGAGATGGCGTGCCTTTTATGGGTGATTCTCTTTTTCCTTGAAAGATTTGTATAGCAATTGCTTCTCTAGATTTAAACGAATGAAACGGTTTTTTACCACTTGAGATTTCCCAAAGAAGGACTCCATAGCTATAAATATCAGACGTTAAATTACGTTTATACGAATTATTTGCATTATCTATAAAACATTTGGGATCAATATATGCTGGCATTCCATAGATATATGAATTCGAAATTGATGATTCGTTGGTTATTGTCTTTGATAAACCAAAATCAGCAATTATTGCTCTTTTATCATGAATTAGAATGTTTCTGGGGTGCTATAAAAAAATGATATATGAACGCAATATATTTATTAAAAAAGTGAAGATTATTAAATGTACTTACAAGATCTCGATGAGCTATATTATGATTATGTAAAAATAAGAGACCCTGCGCTATGTCCTTCGCCAAACGGAGTTTATCAGTCCATTGCAATATCGAAAAATTATTTCTTAAATAATCCCGTAAATTTCCACCATTTGCAAATTGCAAGACTAACATATAGCAATTATTATCTATTTATAAGTATTTTTTAGATTTGTGTATGCAATAAATGAATAACTTCGTAAATTGATACAATTCATAAAATTCAGATACGAGTAAAATACACACCATTAGTTACACCATATAAATGATTTATGTTGGGGTGAAAACTCACTTTTTGTAAAAGTCGGAGCTTATAAGTAATATGATTAATGAATTGATATTAACATTAGGGTAAAGAAAACCATTTAAAGTCCGAAGAAAAATATCATGCGTTACTATGGTAATCTGATATCCATCAAAATTCGTAATTTGTACACACATATCAGATATACCGTTGCCTCTCTTGTAACTCATGGAGTCCTTCGAACAATAAATTTGTACAATAGAACGAGTTGGAAGTTTTGTCTTATACAAATTTCCTATACCTCTCTATCAGATTTCTTAACAGTCATTCCTTCTAAACTTATGTCTTTTAAATTTTTGAGCGCGACTGTTAATCCGCCTTTTTTCCATTCAGCTTTATAAACAGTATTAAATCCACCTTCGCCTATTTTCTCAATGTTAGTAAATTCACCATATTTAATATGATTAATATCACCATCATTGATAGCTTTATTAATAAAAGTAATCAAATCCGCCGAAAAAAGCTCCATGACTAATTTTTTAAAAAAAATTCAACGAAACGATGAAAACGGTGGGTCTAAAATACTTTAGTAACGTATAGTACGTATTCCAAATGAAGATTAAAACGTTATTGGTTTCATATTATGATTGTTATTGGATGTTTTTTATTTATGGAGTATTTTTTCCGAACAATTTGTGTAAGTTTTTGCTTCCAAGAAAAATTCTTTATAGAATATTTATATGAAATAGGGTAAGTACGTACGTACGTACGTACGTATGATGGTTACGTCTTATCAGTTATTATTGAAATTACTATATATGTGCCATCATTTTTGGGTACTCCAAACACTTTGACATAAATAGTATTTACTTATGTACTTCGAGGTAGGACCGTCCCATGTACGAAGAACGTCTAAAGCTGTGTGAGGCATAGACTACGCCAGGGCGTAGGATCGATTTTACTGTCACATGATTTTCCGACATCTATCAACCAATCAAAGATCAGGATCAGGTGTAACGTGAAGAAATTCAAAACAAACGTTCGCTTTGCAAAAATCGCATTTATCTCAAAATTTAGTCTAGTTAACCATCTTTGGGGTCCTAACAAAAAAATTTCCTTGTGCGATTTTGCTACGTTATTGTTCTTCCTAACTTTAGCCTAACCTTAACCTAAACTCTAACCCAAGTTTTTATCTTAGCAACATTTGTTTTCCGACTATCACGTGACAGTAAAATCGACCCTACGCCCTGGCGTAGTCGTGAGGCATATTATATAGTTATTTGGAAGTCCGATCATATTAAGCTGTCGGATATCCAATTTTAGAAGCGGATCCTATCAATTTTCCGACAAACACTTTCTCCCGACAGTATTAGTTTACCGATAATTAGTTTCCCGACATATCAATTTCTTGACAATTTCTATTTCCCGACCGTATCATTTTCCCGACAAATTGGCCCGCATTATATTTGCTGTTGGGAAAATGATACTGTCGGAAGATAGGTATTGTCGGGAACGTGATACTGTCGGAAAGTGATATGTCGAGAACTATTTGTTAGGAAACTAGTACTGTCGGAAAAGATATTTTCGGAAGGAAATAACGACACAGATTATCGACACGGCTTATAACTATTACTAACCTTAACGACACAGCATGCCAGAACTATAATTAATGTTAATATTAGGGTATAGCAGAATTAGATCACTTGTTGCTTTGTCGGTAGTGCACCTGAACCTACTTTTTTTATACATCTAAACATGTCCTAAAACTAACAATAAGCTATTATAGTAAAAGATGTAAAAAAGATAGGGTATTTTTAGATGTTTCAAGAAGTAGGTGCAGAAGTATCAAAAATGAATGTTTTGCGTCGGTAGCAATCCCTAATTTCATTGGTTATGTGGCACGTGATTATGTCATGCGTCATTTTTAAATTCTGTATTCTTTTACCGTCATGTACTTTTTTTTCTTCGTAATACTTATAGTTTTAGAAATTATGTAATGTTTTTGATAGAATACTTGAAATTCATAACCGACAAGAAAGAACGCCTGTAATAGGTATATTAAAAAATCTGGGCCCTCACTACGAACAGACTCAAGCAAAATATTACATGCTAAGGTCATAATATTAAAGAACTCAGTTCACGATATTTACAGTATAACGTTTCTTGCGCAAATATTTAAGAACGTTTAAACCATAGAAGAACCACCATTAATTTTAAAAACTTGCTACGTCTTAATTAAACCACTAAGAAAAAATTTGCTACACTCAAGACGACGTGGATCGTTTTGTGTTAAAGCAAAATTTATTAACTGTATTTATAGCATTTAGTATATGAGATGTCATCAATCAAAATGTATCATCGTAAATAGTTATACAAAAATTAATTGTAACACGACTTTTGTAACAACTTTGTATAATAAACTATGTCAGACATCAATAGAGATAATTAATCACCCACGTTACAATTAATTTTCATAATTTTTTTAATCTCTCTATTCTACGTTTTGATTGACGAACCCTCATATGTATGTAACATCGAGGTTGATCTATAGTATAGGTGGGCAATAAACATAGGTTAGTAGGTTAGTGTTAGTTTTTTTATATATAACAGGAATGTAATATAAGAATATAAATGTTAACCATATAGTCTTATAGAAATTTCATATATTTTTTGTATAATATATCTATTTGTCACATCGATAATTATCACATATATTATATGCCCACCTATACTATATATAATCCAACATCGATTATGTTAAACGCATATATGTGGATTAGAGCAAATATCTTTTTTTTAAACGCAAAACGAAAATGACTTATGCCAATTACTAATTGACATAAACATAAGTTGAGAGATTCCATGACACATATTTAAGGACAAACATAATAATTTAAATACTTAGACTCAAGTAAAAAACTAAACAGTTCGTAATTCCAAGATAATTTATTCCAGTAGGAGGCACCATCAAAGTTCAAGATTTCATTGGCCAAAAATGATATAAGATCGGATCGTTACGGTAACATTAATATTAATCTCCTTTTACGTTTATTAACCAATATTAGAGTTAGAGGTAATCGTTAGGTTAGGGTGGTTTATGTTTAAAATTGTCTTCCCGACACTTTTTAATTAATGCTTCGGTATTTTTCGAGGGCTGATCCGAGATTATCAATTATCGTGCAAACTCTTATAATATTTTTGTACGTTATTACGTAAGCAAACCTTGTAAATCATTGTCATAATTGCACGATAACATTGATATCGATATTGGATCGATAATAAATACGTATCACTATTTGGTAAATAATATAGTGAAACCTTAATGTAGAGTACAGATATTCTTTCAAAAGATTCTATTTTGGAAATGTGTTAAAGCACTGTAGCTTTATCGTTATGATTTGATTAATTTATAGATAAATTAAAAATCAGATGATCAAATTGAAATATTACAAAATGCTACAATCTGTTCCCATTCTGAGAATTTGAATAACTACGAGATGTACGTGCGTACATACTTACGTATGTATCGGTATGCACAAAATTTGAGCATGATACTTTTCATGTTTTGGAGCGTCTAAGATGTCAAGTTCTTCAAAGGCGATTAAATGGCTTGAAAATGCTGTTTTAGACAAACTGATTAATTATTTTGATTATAATGAATTCAGTTGCAATGAAGTAATTAGTGAAAGCAACACTAGTTTTATATACAGATCTGAATGGATAAATTATGGATTAACTGTCGTTCTTAAAAGGCTAAAATTTGATGCAGAGAGAATGGATATGGAATCATTCGTAAAAGAGGTATGAAGAATAGTTAACCAAGTGTATGAGAACATTTCCAAGTATTCGCTTGCGAAAAAAAATAATGGTTAACCAATTATTGAAAATCTGTTTACATTAAAGAACAAAGCTTTATTGTATTAATTTAAATTATTCTACACGCATATAAGCTTCAACTCTTACAAAGAGTAAGCTTTCATCCTAATATAAATCATTTTTATGGCGTAACACAAGGTTGGCACTTCATATTTGACATACGTAATTATGAGAAATTAAAATATGATTTGAACAATCTGTTATTGTGTGTCTATAAATCTTTACAAATAGATCCTTCCAATCAAAATTATATGATGGTCCTACAATTTGCCGAGGATAGAGATTTGCGTGGATATTTAGAGAAAAACTTTGAGACATTACAATGGAAAGATAAATATCGTATCGCAGGAGAAATAGCACAGGGTCTTGCATTCTTACATCACAATAATATTATCCACAGAAATCTTGTAAGTTGTCCCCTTAGGTTTAATCTTAAATGCATCATATTTATCTATTTACTATGTTTACAGCATCCAAAAAATATTCTGGTTCATGAAGATAAGATAATGATCGCGGACTTTGCCTGGTCTAAATTAATAAATCCCAATTCAAATTCAAATTCTGTAATCGAAGGAATGCCATCGTTTATTGACCCCCAGTGCTTTAAAAACGGTACATATAAACGAACTGCCAAGTCGGATATTTACAGTTATGGCGTTATTCTTTGGGAAATATCAAGTGGCTGTAAACCTTTTCGAAAATTAAAGAGAATCCAAATTGCTATTCAGATATATAACGGTGCGAGGGAAAAACCCGTAGAGGGTACACCATCTAAATATGTTGAATTTTATAAACGTTGTTGGGATGATGACCCGGATAGTCGTCCAGATATAAAGGAAGCTCTTGAATTATTTGATGAGTACATAATTAAATCAACGATCCCTCATGTAAACATGAGAGAACCTTTAGCAGAATTGCTCGAAGGAGCTATCTCAAGCCACGATATTCAATTCTATGATTATAGTCAGTTTGATAATCATACATTGATTGCTGAAGAATCATTTAGCTTAATATATAAATCTAAATGGAAAACGAACGGACTGGATGTTGCTCTCAAATGTCTTAAAGTCGATAATAGATTTTTGGATGGGAAGATTGTTAAAGAAGTATAATTTGCTTCTTTTACTAATTTATTATTGCGTTTAGTTTAAATATTAATTCGCAATTAAATATTATTTTAAAGCTTAAACTCTTACAAAAAACTGACTTTCATCCAAATATTATAAAATTCTACGGAATGACCAGAGGTATATTTAAAAAAAAATATAGTTGATAATAAAGATGTTACTTTTTATTTTAATAATAATTGCCTGTTTTAATAAGTAGATCCTTCTAGTGAATATTATAGCTTGATTTTGCAATTTATAGATGGTGGAAATTTGCATGATTATTTGGCGAAAAATAATTCAAAATTAATATGGCCTAAAAAATTACGATTTGCTATAGAAATAGCAAAAGGACTTGAGTACCTACACAACAATGGCATTGCTCATCATGATCTAGTAAGGGCATCATATGACTCGTATTTAAATGTATTTATTATCTATTTATATGGACAATTTGTTAATAATTAACTTTGTTTTATTAATAGCATACTAAGAATATCCTAGTCTGCAATGAAACAATGATCATAGCGGGTTTTGGTATACCTGAATATGCAACTAAGGCATCATTTTCTACTTCAATTGTCCGAGGAGTACCAGCATATATTGAACCCCAATGTTTCAAGAATCCCTCATATAAATCTGATAATAAATCAGATATATATAGTCTTGGTGTTATTCTTTGGGAGATTTCTAGTTGTAGGCCACCGTTCAAAACCATCGAAGATGGATATGCAATTACTATTCATGTATATAAGGGAGGGAGAGAAGATCCTGTTAAAGGTACACCGCCAGAATATGAACAGCTTTATAAAGAATGTTGGAACGATGATCCTGAACAACGCCCACTAGCAAAATCAGTTATTGAAAGGTTAAATCAACTTATAAAAGTTGTAAATTAAATAAATGTTACTGTAAAATATTACCATTTGGTAGGAGTGGTTTAATAGGT